GTCAACGGAATGCAAAATTGACATCATTAGCTAAGGGTCTAGTTAATGGGACCATACAAGGGGAATCAGTATCCCGGGTATCTCCATGGTTGCTATCTTTTGTTATTTAGCATTTCTTGCCATGTGACTCCACTGTGTATATTTCCTCTCATCATAGCCATTCTCTCAACTCCACAGAGTGCAACACACCTGCCTTGGGTACTGCCCCTCTTCACTCCCAGATCCCATGTTTATCTGGGCTTTTGCATACTCTGTTCCCTGCCTCGATGTTCTCTCCTTTTTAGCCATTCCTTTAGCAGTGTCATTTAAAGAGCATAGATGTGGAGTCAGAAGTGTTCAAGTCACATTTATCAAAAGGGAATGTCACTGCTGGTTGTCCAGGGTGAAGGTAACTGGAGATGAGGACTGGCTTATAACAGGTATGGAGTAAATACTATTCCTCACCATAGCCCATTATTCAGAATACCGAAGGTAAGACCAGCTTTTCCAGGAAGCTTTCTTGGATAGTGCCCATCCAGTTTGACTTCCCACTTCTACATTCATAGCTCGCTGACTGTCTACATTGTGCATCCCTTGCCTCATTCCTTGGGACAGTTCTATAACTGTCTCCCATGTATATGTCTGGTCCTTCAAGTAGATTGCTCATACCCAAGGGCAGAAAACTTGTGTCATGCTAAATTTATTCTCATCCACAGAGCCCATTAATATGTTAAGTGAATATTACAGTAGCTTAACTTTTACAGAATGGAATTTATATCATACACTATATATCAGCTGTCTAGTATTGTGTGAGGGTATTGAGTATACCTCCTCATTAATCTCTGTGATAAAGATATTAAGCCTCTGTGGATTTCTAACTTCAGCTTACTAACTAAGCACACAGTCATTTTGGTAATAAGGAGCTTTGGCTTAAAGGAAATATCCATATGGGAGGAGAGATTCTTTTTTTTTTTTTAAAGATTTTATTCATTCATTTGACAGAGAGAGAGGGAGACACAGTAAGAGAGGGAACACAAGCAGGGGGAGTGGGAGAGGGAGAAGCAGGCTTCCTGTGGAGCAGGGAGTCCGATGCGGGGCTTGATCCCAGGACCTCGGGATCATGATCCGAGCTGAAGGCAGACGCTTCACAACTGAGCCACCCGGGCACCCCGAGAGATTCTGTTAATGTATTCATTTTAATCCTATCACCTAATGACTACATTAGCACACCTAAATCATTTTATTATTGATTTACACAAGCAGGCATAAACATCTTTGACAAAATTTTTAATGATGGGAAAATACTCACAATATAATATTAATTGAAAAGAGGAGGATATAAAATATGTAGTGTGATCTCAGCTCAGTATAATGTAAAATTATAAATTACAGACTAGAAAGGAAGTCATTAAATATTAACAGGCTGACTTTAAATGTGATTTTTTATATGATTTTTAAATATTTTTACATTCATTAGCATTATTTTCAATCCATATAATAAATGCTTATTACTTCTGCAATCAGAAGATTTCAAAATTTATTTATTAGATAGATGTGAGACCTTCTTATCATAAATATATTACAAATTCCTAATAAAATTACAATTTCCACATGAAAATTGGAAATATATTCATTTATTACTTAATATGATTTTTAATTAAAAGTTTTTCATGAGTGTCCATTATGTGCTTCTGCTGGTGGTGTACAGTATAGTTTATTAGGCACAGAGAAAATGGAAGCAAAAAGTCACCATGTGGATTCCTCAAGTATCTGCCATTATATTGGTGACAGAAAAAAGAAAAGTTCAAGTCTAAAATGTATGAAAAGTGAAAGTGAATCAATACAGTGCATTAGTCAGCGTTCTCCAGAGACATGGGATCCAACAGGGTATGTATAAAGAGATCTATTCTAAGGTACTGACCCTCAGGATTATGGAGGCTGCCAAGTTCTGTCACCTGCTCTCAGCAAGTTGGAGACCCAGGAAACTGGGTGGTACGGTTTGAAGGCCTAAAAGCCAGAGAGCCAATGGTGTAGACCCAGTCCTAGTCAGCAGGCTGAGAATCAGGACTTCTGAGAGCAGAAGATTGAGGTCCTAGCTTAGCAGTAAAGATGGAATCCCTCTTTCCTCCACCTTTTTGTTCTATTCAGGCCCTCAACAGGTTGGATAATGCCTATTCGTGCTGGGGAAGGCGATCTGTGTTAATCAGTCCACCAACTCAAATGCTAATCTTATCCAAAGCACCCTCACACACACAAGAAATCTTGTTTCACTAAATATCTGGGCATCCTGTGGCCCTGTCAAGTTGACCCATAAAACTAGCCAGTGCATATAGTAAATGAGGGCCACAAAATCTTTCAAGGAATCTGATAAGAAAAATGAGCTGTAAAGGATGATACGTGCTACATAAGCAAAGAAGAAGAGAAAGTGTGTGTGTGTGTGTGTGTGTGCGGGTGCACATGCATGTGCACATGTGTGGGTGGTCTGGTATGGCCTGGGGCTATGCATGTTGGGGGTTTGTGTATGTGGATGTATGCTGGTGTGTGTTTGTGTTGGTATGTGCGTGGAAGAGGTTGGCAGGGAGTCAGCTATAAGTGTATAAATAGTACTGTTCAGGAGGGTGATCTTGAGGGGAACAGACTCAAAAGTTTTGGCGATCACCCTGCCCCTAAGAGGTAAACCATAAATTTAATTTCAATCTGATCACAGCAGAGATAAAGTCAGCAATATACACACACCCACATGTGCACATGTGTGCACATGCACACACACATTCAAAGATTCTGAGATAAGCAAGATTTTACTAATTCCCCTTTTTATTAATAAATCTTAAAAGTAAAGAGGAGGATTTATGCAAACACTATCCAGGGAAAGTATTTCTCTGACTCAAGCATGTGCCATTTGCTCTGCCATTCTAAGCACTGTAACAAAATAGTAGTCATACCTGTCATTGTTTTAGTATTAGAAATACACACACACTGGACTCATTTTTTTTACATATACTATCTCACTTACTTTCACGGAAACCTCCAAGGTATATACTATTCTTATCCTGTTTATAAATGATGCAATTGAAGCTCAATTTAAGCTTTCATCAACATATCCCTAAACACACTTTAGCCTCCCTTAGTTCAGCTTGTTCCGCTGGCAACCCAGCAGACATCTTGTTTCACTCTGTGCTTTATCGTCCCAGCTGGGCGGTAAGAGATATGGTCATTCATTCCACACACATAGGTTGTTCCACTTTTGGATATATGTTACTAGTCTGGATTCTATTGAGGGGGAAAAGAGCTATATTCTAAAAAGAATAAAGGGTTTGAATTAAGAAGTCTTTAATTCAAGACCCTATTCTGTCACCTGCTGACAGAGTGCTCAAGTAGGAGGCAAATTTCTCTAAACTCTGCTTCTCTCAGACTCAAAATGGGTCTGGAAGATAAATTGCATATCAGTGTTAAAATAGATGATTGTTCAGCAAATATTCTCTCTCTCCATCCCCATCTCCATGAGAACAGAATATTACCCTCTGTATTTGCCTTCTGGGGCTCCCGTACATAGCAAATCACCACAGACTTGGTGGCTTAAAAAACAGAAATTTATTTTTCACAGATCTGGAGGTTAGAAGTCCAAACCCAAGGTGCTAGCTGGGCTGCCTTCTGGCAAGGTCACTCTCCCTGGCTTGCAGACACCCACCTGTTTCCTGTGTCCTCATATGGCCCTCTACTCTGTGGACATTCTCCCGAAGTCTCTTCTACTTCTTGTAAGTACATTAATCCTTTTGGATTGGGGCCACCTTTATTGCATTATTTAGCCTTAACTGCCTCCTTAAAGACCCTATCCCCAAATATAATCACATTGGGGGTTAGGGTTTCAACATATAAATTTTGGAAAACACAATACAGCACAGAACACCTACCTCCCAATTTATGTTGGGCATGGCACTTACTGTGGCCAACTTTGGATATATGTTACTAGTCTGGATTCTACTGAGGGAAAAAAAAAGTTATATGGCAGGTGGAATATTCTTCCTTATCTCTTAATTTGGGGCTCACGTATACTATCTGCTTTAAGTGGGCTATTAATCAGGTGACATTGGTAGGGACTTAAAAGTTTCCCACACTTTAGACTCACTCTTCTGAGCTTCTACTGTAGCATGAGAAGGACCTGCCCTGGCTATCTGCATCAATCCAGAAGAATGAATAACCATAGAACAGAGAAAAACCCACCTGGCTCACAGTCCTACAGCCAGATGTAGAGTTGCCCTCACTGGCCTGCAGGAATGTGAATGTGATAATGTGTGCTTTGTGCTGAGCTTGGGGTGGTTGACCATGTAAGATTATTGTGGTGTGGCTAACCTATATGACATTCATTCCCCTATTCCCTCATTGATTAATTCAATAACTACCTAAAATGCTGCCATATTCTACTTGAGCCAACAATGTCAGACAGGTTAAGATAATTGGTTAGGTTTACCCAGCAGCTAGTAAGTTATGGAAACATATTTAGGAGCCTAGCCCTTGTCAGGGCCAGTTACCTCCCTGGAGCAGCTGCTCACTTGAAAGAGAAAGATATGCTACTGCCTGGTCTCTAAAATATTACAATTTATTCACTAAATAAACACTCTTATTGAGTACAAATAATTATTTGTTCTGAGTAACTTAAAGAGCTGATGATGGCAACCAGACATTCTTATTGCAGACAATGCAATGACATTACCGTTCCTGAGGGTTTGAGCACGTCCTGGCATTATTCACTCATGACTAGAACGGGTAGGACAAACAGGGACTACTTTATGTTGATGATTATGTGTCTCCATAGGTGAGATAATCTTAAGTCAGTCTTGATATGAAACATGAGGGGTCAAACCAAATGATCTTTAATGGCTCTTTTACTCTAAAATTCTGAACTTTAATGATTATGGCAGGTCTCTATTGCTGAGTTAATAACCATAGACTGTGCCCTTCAGATATCTATTATTCATCAACATCTTGATAATCACAGGGAAAGAATTTTACTACCTGCAAAGTTTTACATTGCTTAGAATTATACTTTATATTAGTGTGATGCCTGATAGTTTCCAGTGTACTTCCAACGTGTGTTATCTTCTTATATCCACAAAAATGCCCTGTGAAGTAGAAAGGGCAGAATTTTAATCCCTATTTAATGGTTGAATGGACAATGTCCCTGAGTAGTATACAAATGGTTCAAAATTAGATGGAAAGGTAAGGGCATTCTTAGAGCTGGAAATCATCTTTCCTAATATCTAGTAACATGTTTTGGGGACACTGTCTCTAAAGAGAGCACAAACATGTTTAGGGTATGTAGACAGAAACATTTTCATTCCATTTATTATTCATTCATTAATGCAGTGATTCTTTCATTAATTAATGCATTCATTCCCTCAAAGAGTATTCAAAGAGTGGTAAGTTGTAAAGGTTTATATCTCAGATCTGCTAGTATTTAGTTGTATGTGGTTCCACTTCCCTTGTTGGCAGAATGGAGTTCATCACAGAACCTACCTCATAATTTTGTAAAAATGATGGGAAAGTTAAAATGTACAAAGGCTCAGGGCAGCACCTGCTCTACAGTACATACTGTATACCTATTCCTATACTTCTGCACTGTCTTTGCTCGGCACTGAGGGAAAAAAGGAAAATAAAACTTAGATCCTAGTTTATATCTGAGAATAGGAGGAGTCAAATGCATAATCTCATTACTCTTTTAGGTTTATCTCCATAATTTTACACAACATTTGTACAATGTTTAGGTGCACTCTGAAAGTAGGTGACCTCAGTTCTAAGTGGTCTAAGTAATTGTGACTTAAAATTCTGACCGTTTGAGTTCAGACAATATGCTGGGAGCTTGAGAGTGAATGTGCATCTGTGACTTCTTCCCAAGGTTCTGCTCTCCATTCTTCTGATGCTGGTAAAGGATACTCCCTAGAGGAATCTCCCCCAGTGAGTAACAGCTGCTCAGCTGGAATGGTCTCACCTACATCCCTATCCCTGGCCTCAGGACTTGGTCCCCTGTTGACAGCTATCTGGTGACCACAGTGGTGACTCAACCTTAGGATAAGGCTGACTCCGTGGGAGGCAATAGGAAGAGAAGGAAAGAATCATATTCTTATATGTGTTTTTTGACCTGATAAATCAGTCTCAACCCAAGATTGACTCCAATTCTGGACTTCATAGCAAATAAGCCAATGAATCCAGTAATTAACATCTATTGTTTAAGCCAGTTGGAGGTGTGCTGTGACTTACACCCACATTTACCCTAGCTGATACAGGGTATGACTTGGATACATAACTGGGGAAGTAGACTTCATGGAGTCAAGTGCAGAACCCCATAGGCATCCAGGGGTTGTGTCCCACCACTACTGTCAACGTTGCCTTCCCCAGCCCATATCTCCACATCAGGAGATGAGCAATCAGCTTTGACCTCAATCATCCTTTCTCTTTAGTTTTGAGTTTATCTGTGAAACAGATGAGGGTTTGCAATTCCTATTCCTGGGTGTTTTTGACTTAAATTTCATTTATCCTCCTTCCCATCCTCTAGTCTATATTACATAAAAATGACTCTACTCTGCCATTCATATTCTCTTTCCGGCACAAAAAGTGATCTTCTTTCAGCCTATCACTAGCATATCAGGTTTGTATACAATTAATAAAATAATATATTAATAGTTAATGAGAACCCAAATTTTCATAAAAAGAGGACTGAAAGGTAAATGGGTCTTGAATAAATGTTTCAGCAACCATTATGACTAGTAAGACTCAAGTTTTATAAAGGGCTTCTGGCAATTCCACTTCAAACCATTTTTTTTTCTTATTCTCAGTCTTCTGAGAATGTTAAAGAGATTTCTAGGTTCAAGGCTTACTTTAACTTATTTGTTTCCTGCCCATTAAAATATGTAAATAAATAGTAAAAAACCTCATAACAACTGACTTGTCTTATAAAGACATCCAGTCCTTTCTAACTTAAGCTGAATAATCTTGATGCTTTTTGCATTGGTTCTCATCTGTAAAATTAGTCTCACATTTATTATTGTATGAATTAAAATGTCTATTTTTAAAAATCTCATATTTCTTTCTCTGGATCTTATCACAGTCTGGTCCTGCCTGCTTGATTTTCCATGGTGACTTAACTAATTTATTTCCATCTCCTCATAGCAAATGAAATTTCCTTAACCTTTCTCTGTGAGACATTACAAAGGATATTACTCACAGTGCTTAATTCCTTCCCACCTTTCTGGCAATTATATGCTCAGTGAGGTATTGTCAAAGGCTACAAAGAATTCTCTGGGTGGTATATAAACCCAACTTCATCCAGAAGAAATAGATCCCCCTGTGGCTTGCCTCATTTTCAGAATTATATCTACTGCAGTGTTTATTCTATTGATTGTATATTTTACACTTGTGGTTTCATTCCCTTTAAAATCTCCACTTTTCTCTATGTCTCAGGCTACTAATAGAAGGGGGTGTATGGGCATAAACCATCTTAGTCTTTCTTTGAAGACTGACAGAAATAGAACTTCACATTTATTGGATTCCTATTATCAGCTAAGCACTTTATAGGTTATTTGGCAATTATAATTATTAAATAATAATACTATTTATGAATTATATCTCCAGGCTAGACTCTGCTCTGAACTCTAGATTTATATATTCAGCTGCTTACTTGGCTGCTCTACTTTGATGACATCTCTGAGTTATCTTATCCAAATTAAATGTTCTCTCAATCCTACTTTTTCCATGAATTTCTCTATATCTATTTCTTATTTCTCTTTCCCATGTGCACATTTAATCCACCTCCAAGTCTTGTTATATCTTTCTTAGAAATATGTCCAGAATCATATTATGCAGCCATCAAAAGGAATGAGATCTTGCCATTTGCAACGACGTGGATGGAACTGGAGGGTGTTATGCTGAGTGAAATAAGTCAATCAGAGAAAGACATGTATCATATGACCTCACTGATATGAGGAATTCTTAATCTCAGGAAACAAACTGAGTGTTAGTGGAGTGGTGGGGGGTGGGAGGGATGGGGTGCCTGGGTGATAGACATTGGGGAGGGTATGTGCTACGGTGAGCGCTGTGAATTGTGCAAGACTGTTGAATCACAGATCTGTACTTCTGAAACAAATAACGCAACATATTTTAAGAAAAAAGAAAAAGAAGAAGACCGCAGGAGAGGAAGAATGAAGGGGAGTAAGTCAGAGGGGGAGACGAACCGTGACAGATGATGGACTCTGAAAAACAAACTGAGGGTTCCAGAGGGGAGGAGGGTAGGGGGATGGGTTAGCCTGGTGATGGGTATTAAAGAGGGCACATTCTGCATGGAGCACTGGGTGTTATGAACAAACAATGAATCATGGAACACTACATCAAAAACTAATGATGTAATATATGGTGATTAACATAACAATAAAAAAAGAAATATGTCCAGAATCTCATAAATTCTCACTACCTTTACCAGTATCACACCTGGTCCAAGCCATGACAATATCTGGCCTGGACTGTTGCATTATTGTCTTGATGATTTTTTTTTCTATTTCACCAAAAGATCCATTCTCTGAACTTCTTTGTTCTGCTGTGTGCCTTGAATGTTTGGTCTCAATAGTCTGTACCACTACATTGGCTTGCTGATTGGTTTTCACTGTATTCAGTCAATGGGAGCACCAGCTGAAGATCAGTAGGAGTAAATATGGGTAAAATTATAAGGATATTTCTTCTCTGCACTGACTGCCTTGGAGCCATTAATCTGGCACCAGCTTTGTCCTCTAAGACTATATAGTTACTTCTATGTGCTCCATGCACTTCAGATCCAGCCATCCCTGAGTTTTGACAGTGCTAATCCTTCTTTTAAAACTTTAACCCTATGGTAGCATTGGCTTAGTGTTGTTGCTAGTCTGGGTGTTTCAAAATCCCTCATTTGGTTCCTTACCTCTGCTCACATCTCTGTCAGTCCCCTTGTTAAAGTATTTTCATTAGAACTATATGGGGTGTACCTTGTTTAGAATTCTTCCTGATAGAGTGGATAAAACCAAAGAAAGAACCCTCAACACTGTTTTCTACATATTTGTCAAATGTAATGATCTCCTTGCAGATGTGATGGGATTCTGAAAACCTATGACATAAGTGGTCTTATTATTACAAAGATTATCTCCAGATGGGGGAAATGGTAGAGTTCAGTTTTAGCATCAAAGCTTTGGATGAGCAAATGGCTACTCAATTTGATGGTTATAGAAACAATAATGATTACAAAGTTTGTGAGACAGGCTGACTGTTTTTGAAAGTTCTAGAAAGCTTACAAAAATGACAATAAACTTAAATCTTTCAACTCCCTACCTAAAGAAGTGCTGGAGTATCAGAGAGTTTCTAAACCATCTAGAAAGTTATCCATTATCTTATGCAATTTTAGCATAGTTTTATCATTGGAAGAATTTCAGCAAGTGCAGAATTTTGTAGAGAATGAATTTCCTCCTCCCAATCTGAGGAAACCAGACATCCCTTTTATTAAAAACCCTGCAGAAACTTCACCTGGACCAGGTGCTTCATAAAAAAATGCCTACTCTGTTTAAAATTCTTCCTCAACACATTTTTTTTTCAGACCCATAATGAAAGTACAATTCCAGTATGTCCAAGGAAACAATGGCAAGGTCTATTCTAGCTGGAAGGAAATATACATAAAGGAAATTACAAAAATCTTGTGAAATTTTATCATCAAGAAACTGGGAAGCATGTGTAGGGATAGATCCTAATTATAAAAGATCAAAAAGGACAAAATGTAAGATTATATGAGAAAAAACTTTACTAATATGGGTGTGTTCAATCAAGATTTAAAATCGTATGTATTACCTTGAAGGACACGTAATATTTGTAATAAATTGTTTGGTGAAGTAATGGGATCCTAAATAAGCAGTGGTCTATAATCTAAAAGATTGACATACCAGAACTTTTCTTCCATTCTGTAGAGGAAGGAATCGCCTGAAGTGAGTATCAGAGGAACACTGGATGGGATATAGTCTGGGTAAACTCAGTCACATTCTAAAAATAACTCTGAGAGGGCCCATGGGAAATTCTCCTCACCAAGCCATTAAAAATTTATGGTTGAGGAAAACACCAGCATCTTGAAAGCTCTGTGGTGATGCTCCTATATGGACTGAAAATGGTGGGGTGAAATTCTACAAAGTAATTGGGCTCTCTGATTTCAGTGAGAGTAATAAGACCTCATAGTAGTAGGGTGCAGATGCCAGTGACACTTAACTATCAGAGATAAGTCTGGCACATTACTATAAAAGATTTCAAGGATGGAGTGTTTTGACCCATGGGAATCTGTGATGATAACTAAGTGATCTTCTATCCAAAGTAACAACATGGATGTGCAGCTCACTGAGGGGTTACCTGATGCATATAAACCATAGGTCTGAAGAGCAGAAACCTGCTTTGAGAAGCTAAAGTGAGAATGTATGACCTGAAATCTAATTCTCACAGCCAAGTCAGAGCTAGAGGCCCTTGAATGAAGAGGGGGCTAGATACATTTGAAGATGATGTTCAGAGCAGCTGTATTTATTCCTGCCATGAATGTATCTTGTGGATCTTCCTCTAAGCTTTTCCCCAAGGCACCTGGAACCATTTAACAAGGTTACTGTACACTGGAGAAAGGTATATACCTAGACCTTTGGGAGTTCTGAGTTAACCTACCAGAATCTAAAGAACCTGTAGGTCAGAATGAGAGCTTACAGAGATCAGGCAATAAATGGAAAATTGGCCTAAGCCAGTCATACAGTGGGTGCAGAGAGCCCAAGAACCCATTCTGTGGTTATTCCCTTAGTTCTTCAATATACAGTTGGACTAGAAATACTTAGCACCTGGCAGAATCTCCACCTTGATTCCTTAACATGTTGAGTTACATTCCAAGATTGATTTTGAAAAATGACTGTAGATTATAGTGAACTTCATCAGGTATTAACACTAATTGCAGGATATTTTCTGGGGTTGCCCCCTTTACTCAGACAGATCAAACAGATTCTGGCAATAGATATGAAGCCACTAATTGACTGATCAAATAATTTATTTCTTATTCCCAATTAATAGATTCAATTGGGAGTAGTCCAATTTCACCTGGCAAGGACAGCAATATTCCTTCACTGTGTTACTTTAGGATTATGTCAATTTTAATGTGCTCTTTCTTAACATAATACAATAACTTAATCATACTAATTTTTCCCAGCATATCATGCTATTACATAACAGAGATGACATTTTGCATTAGAGAAGGAAACATAGGAAAACCTAGGTGTTTTAATAGGAAACATTTGCCGGAGAAATTTCAGTGGTATTTATACATTAATGAGGTGGTATTTACACATTAATGAGGTTTCTAGGGACCTTGTGGTCTGGGCCAGGTTTGGATATAGATAGCCTCTAAAATAAATGGTATGTTGTTGTACCCTGCCCCATCCAATATGGGAAAAAAATAAGTCATAACCCTTGGGAATCTGGATTTTGGAGATAACTTATGGCATGTGTGTGTGCTACTCTGATCCATTTAAGGAATAATAGATCCGACTATTTTTTTTAAAGATCTTATTTATCTATTTGAGAGAGAGAAAGTGAGAAGCAGGGGGAAGGGCAGAGGTAGAGGGAGAGAAAAACCCAAGCAGACTGTGCTGAGTGCAGAGCCCGACACAGGGCTCAATCCCATGACCCTATATCAGACCCAAAGGGAAATCAAGAGTTGGACACCTCACTGATTGCCCCGCCAAGTGTCCCTGACAATTTTTTTAAAGTTATCTGATTTTATTTAGTTAGAGCAGGTTTAAGTTTGAGAAAAAATTGAGCATAAAATACTTCCCCACACTCATACTTACTTTCCTCTCTTACCAATGTCTTGTACTAATGTGGTACAATTGTTACAATTGATTAACTATATTAATACATTATTGTTAACTAAGGTCCATAGTTTACATTAGGATTCACTCTTTGGATTGTAATGTCCTGTGGGTTTTGACAAACATATAATGCCATGCATCCACCCTTACAGTGTCAGACAGAATAATTTTGCTGCCCTAAAAATCTCTTGTGCTCCACTTATTCATCTTTCCCTCCCTCCCCCAAACCCTTGGCAACCATTGATCATTTTTCTAATTGTGGGAAAATACACGTAAAATACAACTTACCATCCTAGACATTTTTAGCTGTATAGTTCAGTGGTAGTTCATTCATATTGTTGTACAATCAGTCTCCAGAACTGTTTTCATCTTGCAAAACTGAATCTGCACCCATTAAACAACACCTCCCCAATCATCTGTCCTCCCAACCCTGGCACCCACCCCTCTACATTCAGTCTCTATTCATTTTACTCCTCTAGGTTCTTCATAGAATTGGAACCATACTGTATTGTCTTTTTATGACCTGTTTATTTCCCTTAGCAGAATGTCCTCAAGCCATCCTTGTGGTGGTGTGTGTCAGAATGTCCTTCCTCACCAAGACCACATAATATGCCATTGCATCTACACATCACGTATTTTTTTTATCCACTCATCCATCAGTGACCACTTGGGTTGCCTCTACCTTTCAGTTATTATAAATAATGCTATGATGAACATAGGTGCACAGACATCTCTTCAAAATCCTGCTTTCAGGGTTTTTTTGTGTGTACATTCAGAAGTGGAATTCCTGGATCATATGGTAATTCTACTTTTAATTTTTTGAAGAACCAATATACCATTTCTCATGGAATGACCCATAAGTCTAACAGATTTGAGGGCTATTATCCATGCTCATTATTTGCTGCTAGATGCCCTGACACATGGGTCTTATGATCCAGCAGTTTCAATGGTACTTTAAGTGATGAATCAGATAGGGATGCTCTATAGTGCCTCTACTAAGACTAAAGTAGTAATCACAGCCTAAATTATGGTTTTGGAGTTAAAACCTATGTTTCCTGTATATTTGCCTCCCTTTGGCCTAGCAGACTCTGGTGGAAGTGAACTGCTTAACTATGGAGCACCAAGAGACTATGCTTGCTGAGCTGCCCAGCATGAGCTCAGTGTTATCTGATTTAAAAAATCATGAAGTTGGGTATATACAATAGCATTCATCCATAAATGGGAAAGGATCTGGTTGAGTAAATGACACTAGCAGAGGGCTCACATTCCTCTAGTCCTTAATATTCCTATTGCACTATTCTCCCTCAACCTCCACATGTGGACCCTTAAGGAGTCTTAAAGGTGGGCCTTTCTATGAATTCGATACTAGCTGAAAGTGAGCATACTGCATCCAGTCTGCTTTGATGATGATGTCTGTGAACAAATTATCTCAAAATATAGTAGCTTAAAATAACCACTTCCAGGCGCCTGGGTGGTTCAGTCAGTTAAGCAGCCAACTCTTGGTTTCGGCTGGGGTCATGATCTCAGGGGTCTTGAGATTGAGTCCTGGTGGGGTTCTGCAGTCTCCCTCTATCCCTCCCACCTCCTGTTGTCCCGCCCTGCCCCAGTTCACACACTGTCATAAATAAATAAATAAATACATCTTACCAAAAAAATAAATAAAACAACCACTTGTTATTATTACCTGCTATAATTCTGGCAGTGGACAGAGCTCAGCTCGGCGGTTGCCAGTCAGAGTCTTCCCATTGTTTCAGTCAGAGTCTGACTGGGGCTGGGGTCCCAGCAAGACTCGGTCAGTGACATGTCTTATGGTTGGGACTGGCTGTTGCTTCAAAATCAGTGGACTAAAACAGATGGCATCCCCTAACCATTTATTATGTTATGTGGTTGCTTCTCATGGTTTCTCCTGTATGGACTTCTCATAGGATGTCTCAGGTCTCCAAAGGGCATGTCTAAGAAAGGCAGATAGAAATTGTCTTCTTTTGGTGATCTAGCCCCAGATACTACAGAACATCATTTTCACCATTTTCTTTTGGTCAGACAATTCACAAGCCCCCACCCAGTTTTAAAAGAAGGAAATAGATACCTCACCTCTTGAAAATGGTGTCAGGTCCATTGTAAGAAAATGGAAAGACATGAAGAAATATATATACACACGCACACAGAGTCAATGCCCCTTATTTGCAATAGTTATGTCCTATATAGTTGCCTTGGACACTGAATTAGCAAATACTGAACCATTGCTTCTAGGAAAAATAGAATTAGTTTCTCCTAAGCCTCTGGTCACGTATTTTCATCAAACAATTAATACATTTAAAAAAAATAATTAATACATAAACTTGCTTTATGCAAATTTATGTTTAAAGACACCTTATTTAACAAATACTGTTGATTCACTAAAATTGAATTAATGGCCAACAGCACTATAACTCATGCCTGAATGAAGCTTATCTAAAAAATGTTTTTCCTTGTAAGGTACAGAACAGAAAAACACAGACAGCAGTTTAGCACTATGCTTGGGGCACATTTAAAACAAAATTATCAAGAAAAGCACAAAAAATGTGAAAAACGTGGCACTACACAAACCACAAAAAAAGAAATTTTTTGCAGTATGAGAGCTAAAACAAGAAGGCATAGCATGCCTTGTCCGATTTTATTCAGGAAGGTGCATGTTGGATAATTCAAAAATTTTTTGCCACCCTGTCTGACTTTATCTGGGAAGGTGCCTGCTGGATAATTCAGATTTTTGCCACTCTATGCATACCTGCGAATGACCACAAAATCACTGGGACTATTCATTTTGGAGTTACAAATACATTTTTCAAAGTAGATTAATTAACTAATACAGAATCCTAGAATAATGAGGATTAACTCTAGATGAGTTAATCTCCATTTTTGGAAAATATTATCTGCTGCCATCACACTCAGGGGTAGCCCAGAAAACTGTGGTGAGTCAAGTCTTCTCAGTGAGTGTCAGAACTGCTAGCAGTGTGTCAGGTTGTCTACTCTGCATGTTATGAAAGATGGAACTTGTAAAGAACAAGATTAGAACATTAATGGTAAGGCAGTAGGATGCAAAGCTACATTTATGCACCTCTCAGAATAGATGTGGGGGGCATTATATTCTTGCTCGTGTGCAAGCTCAGCTCAACTGCAGAGATGAATAAGTAGGGGGAAATGGTGACACATTCTGCGAATGGCAGACGGCCTTTTACATCAGGTGCTCTGGTACCTGCTATATGGATCTGTAGATGAGTGATCATTGAGACAGGGGAATGTTATATATGGATTCTACAATTTGGCAACTAAGGAGTGCCCAAATTGCCAAGAGCAGAGGCTAAACCTGAGCCCCAGATAAGGCACCATGAGTGGACTAACCAGCCACCCGGGCACAGGTTGGTTATGCTGGTCCCCCTTCTATCACAGAATAGGAATAGATATGTATTCTGGATATGGATTTGCCTTTCCTGCCCTCAAAATTTTGCCATCTTCACTACTAAAGGAATGTCATTCACACTGATGTTCTTCCATTCAACATTGCTCCTTAGTAAGGAAATAATTTTATAGCAAACGATATTTGACAGTGCACTTATGCCCATAGGATCCACTGGACTTATCATGTATCCCATCATGCAAAAGCATCTGGCTTGCTGAGAAACTGGAATGCTCCATCAGCACCTAAGATAAAATCATCAGTGAAGCTGGGATACTGTCTTCCAGGATGCGGAATAGGCCAATGTATGTTGCCAATTTCCTTTTGGTCAAAATACATGGACCAAGAAGCAAGACTCTATATGAAGGGTCTCTTTCACTAGTATATATATTAACTACCTTCTACAATTTTAATATCCCTTCTTTACAACTTTGAGTTTGATGAGTTGCAAGTAACTTATATGAAGGTTGGTAATTTCTCCTGGCCACTTGCATTCTTGTGTTACTGAGAAAAGAAATGGATATATTAGCTAGCATAATTGACTCTGATTATCAAAGGAATATTAGTTGTAATCTAGAATCTAGGGGATTTTAGAGTTTTTCCTTAATACTCTTTTTTTAAAAGATTTTATTTATTTATTTGTCAGAGAGAAAGAGACAGAGAGCAAGAACAAGCAGGGGGAGGGGCAGAGGGAAAGGGAGAAGCAGGCTCCCCGCTGAGCAGAGAGCCCAATGCAGGGCTTGATCCCAAGACTCTGGGATCATGACCTGAGCCCAAGGCAGAAGCTTAACTGACTGAGCCACCCAGGCACCCCTTTCCTTAATACTCTTATATTCAATGGCAACTTACTAATGAAAGTTTATGACCAATAGAGATGGAACAAACAAGGACTCAAATCCTGTGATGATACATTTATAAAATAAAAATAATTAGAGTATACTTATCTCATGGAGGGGCGATGATTAAAATAAGTTAATAGATGCAAGATCTTTATAACAGCACTAGAGTAGATCATGTACCTATTTTTTGGTAATTTTACTATTATTCTTGTCTCATATCAATTGAATGGCTAAAGTACCAAGTTCAGTAAAATCCAGTTAGACTAAAGAAAAAAACAATAATAAAATTGCATATTTCTACCAATTTTTTCCTGCCAATTCTCCGTCCACTTATTTTTCTCAGTGTCCACTACCCTCCCAAATATAGTCCAGTTCATCTTCAAATGCTTTTCCTCTTTCTTTCCTCTCTGTCATAGATTCAAAATAGGTATTATCTTTACCCATAGTTTCCTGTCCTCTTGGCGTACTTTACGCCCTTCCCCATCCCTTAGGGTCTGCTCTTCTCTTTACTTACATCACTTGGAACTGGAGCACTTGCTCTGCTCCCTGGTTTCTGGTGTATTTACCATTGTCATTTACCGTTGTGGTAAGTATTCATTACCCCAAACCATCCATTTTCAAGTTTTTCCTTCAATAGAGGAAGCTCTCTGAGGACAGGAAGAGACAGAGAGAATGTGTGTGTGTGTGTGTGTGTGTGTGTGTGTGTGTGTGTGTGTGTGT